ATAACATGGGCGAGTACTCAAAAGCACTTTCATCGTATGAACGATCACTTGAAATCAACAAAATAGCTCTCCCTCCGAGTCATCCCAACTTGGCTATGTCGTACGGTAACATCGGTTTCCTGTATGAGAATATGGGACAGTACTCGAAAGCACTTTCCTCCCTCGAAAGAGCACGTGATATCTTCGGAAAATCACTGCCTCAAAATCATCCGAATATTGCGCGCGTCAAAACATACATTGAAAATGTAAAAAAGAAAATGTAATTCTGTTTTTTTCGTTTTTGAATAAGAAAATAAATTGCCCTTCTTGAACCGAAGGCTTGCCGAAGCAAGCAGCTGCAAAATTTCGCGCACGCCCGACCAGCGATACCCTCCGTATTCTGCTGGCTCGTACAGTAGACAAAGCCGACAACGGTTAGGCAAACATACATCGATGTATGTATGACTAGTACGACCATGATCATCATCTTCGAAAAGACGATGACGAAATGGACGCTTCTATTCATACATACATTGATGTATCCAATGAAGGCCTACCATTTGCATGGGTCACCAACAGAACGTCGGACATCCCTGGGAAGGTTCATTTGTTTTAGGGCCACGCTCAAATGCTCCATTAGTTAGAAGATTATTCTTATTCTTCTGTTACGAAGAATAAGAAGAAATAGAAACGGAAGAAAACGTATGAAGACGCGATAAAAGACGACGTCGACGTAACGGAATAATAATACGCAGCGCATGACAACAACCAGTGTTTGTCAAGCAATGGAATATTGAATGCACGATATCTTTATCGTCTTTAAACATTTCATGTTCAATTCATTTGTGTTTTCATCTCGAATGTGTAAAGATAATTTGAATGTCGTGCACTCGCCATTCTAGCAAACGAACGATGATTGAATAAAACGGTGGATAAAAACAATACATTCGCCGTCAATTTGAGTAATAACTCATGCACTGCACATATCTTGAAATAGAGATAAAGAATAGAAAAAAAGGAAAGTTTTAAATATATTATTTTTTATACTTTATGATTGTATGTGATGGTTATGTTAACATTGATGGTCAAAAACAACATGAGTCTTTCGAAAGATACTTATCAGCCTTGCTGTTTTTTTAAATGTGCATTAATATTAATATCTCGTAAGAAAATAAAAAGAATAAATATTTTTCTTTCTATATTCATGAAACAATTCTTTATTCAGAGGAATTATATAGACTAAAAAATCTAATTAATCGTATATCTTTTCAAATAAATAAAATCATTTTAAATGTTTATTTAAACTTTAAAAAAGCTTTTACGAGACAACGAAAATCTAATTAACAAATTTCATAGAGATTTTATGTGAATAATTGAATTTTTATTTGAAAAAAAATTTGCTCTTTAACGTCAACAAACTTATGATCAAAATATTTTTTTTATTGAAAATGATTAATAATTCGATGTTGTTCCTACTTCTATTTAGGATTATGAAATCATTTTTTACATTTTATTTCGATTAACATTAGGATATTTTTTTTTGAAGGTTACAATTGAAGATTACAAATATTATTTTGATGAATTTTAATTTTTAATAGTTATTTACTATATTCACAGTAACATCTTAATTTCAGTTCTAAAACATTTAAAAAAAATTAGGTATATAACGTGCGTATATAATAAAGTCTTTTCTTTCATTTTAACTCAGTGAATAATAAAGATACTGTTGATTTAGGTAATTTATGAAAAAACTTGCATTTTTCCCTCTAAATGTTATCTTTGAATGATATTAAGATCAATGTTGATCGACGTGATACTTCAATTTTAATGTATTTTATTCGATAAGTTTTTTATTTAGGTTTAACAACTTGACCAACACTTTGCTTGTGTTTTGATTGATTTTTATAAAATAAAACATTAAAAACCATTGTTTGTTTAGAAAATTTGAAGGTTATGAATTGAACATAATTTGATTCTCCATCACACTCACTCCCTGTAAAATTCATTCTTGATTTCTGATGATCATTGTTAGGTCTTTATGTAAGATGTTAATATGTACTGATCGAAATGTAC